TTTTTTTTATTTTTTAAATTTGAAAAAACACTGACATAATATCTTTTATTTTTAATTAAAATAAATTTCATCAATGATCTTTTCTAAATATAAGTATTTTTTTTGTATATTTATTTTATTTTATATATTGTAAGTATTTTTTTGGTTTAAAAATGTTTAGGGACTTTATTCCTCAAAATGTGAAAGTTAATTGACTTTTTTCATGYTTTTTCCATTATTTTACTATGTTAATTAGTTTTATAGGTCATAAGAATGTATATAACATGTTTTAGAAAGTCCAAATAGTTGTTTAACAAGTTTTGAAATGTCCAGGATTTATTTGTTCCAAAAAATCGTCCAAAAATTTTATCACTCCAAACACTAAAATCGATTGGTTTTTTTAGACTTTTCCTGCAATTCATGTAACCAATTGTTAGTCGTGAATTGATAGTTTTTTTTTTTTTTTTTAAATAAGAGTGATGAGATGAATAGATCATTCATACTATTCTATTATGGCTTTGCCGTCTTTGTTTTGCCTTGTTCCTCTTATGCTTTTACCATTCACATGTTCTTCATCTTCTTCTTCCCCCATCCATGCCTTATCTAAAGGATCATCAATCTCTGTTGACCACAAAGATGTTAATCTGGTTTCCCCAAATGGCCTCTTCACTGCTGGTTTTCACCAAGTTGGTATCAACGCTTATTGCTTCTCGATTTGGTTCACRGAGCCGCTGGCGCAAAACAAGAACMCGACCGTAGTTTGGATGGCAAATCGAGACGTACCGGTGAACGGAAAACGTWCCAAACTTTCCCTTCTGGAAAACGGTAATCTTGTTTTACGAGATGCTGATCAGTCCGTTGTTTGGTCMACCGAGACAAAAGCCACCACTGGTGTACCCACTTTGCAACTTCAAAATAATGGTAATCTTGTTCTTCATCAAATTAATGGAGATCCACACATACTTTGGCAAAGTTTTGATTACCCCACAGACACCCTTTTACCAGATCAACCATTCACCAGAAACTCACAGCTGGTTTCTTCAAGAAGTGCAACGAATTTCTCTTCTGGGTTCTTTAGGCTCTATTTTGACAACAACAACGTTCTGAGCCTTCTTTACAACGGTCCAGAAATCACGAGTGTTTACTGGCCAAGTWCTTATCTGAAAACCTGGGAGGCGGGGAGATCCACTTACAATAACAGTAAAATTGCCAGACTCGATTCTAATGGCCAGTTCAACTCATCTGATGAATTTGGTTTCTTTGTTTCGGATTTTGGCATCAGACGCCAAAGACTGATGAAGGTTGATGTTGATGGTAATATCAGAGTTTATAGTCTTGTTGATAAGAAAGAGAAAAAGAATTGGGAGGTTCAGTGGCAAGCTTTTTCTACGCCATGCAAGATTCATGGCGTTTGTGGGCCTAACAGTGTTTGTGTTCACTCTCAAGAAACTGGCCGGAAATGTGCCTGTGTGCATGGATATAGGCAAAAGAATCTCACTGATTGGAGCTATGGTTGCGAACCCGAATTCGAACCTTGCCAACAAGGTGAAAAACATTTCGTTGAGCTTCGTTTTGTGGAGTTTTATGGTTACGATATCGGGTATCTAAGAAACAGCACGCTTGAAGCCTGCAAAAATGGTTGCTTGACAGATTGCAATTGCAAAGGGTTTCAATTCAAATTCAATGATGGGATCTATGATTGCTACCTGAAGAATCTTTTATACAATGGATATCAGTTGGGTTTCGAGCATTCCATGTATATTAAAATACCAAAACATTTGTCATCATCTTTCCATACAGGATTCATCCATGGATCCATCTCTAGTTGTCCAGATCATCTTATCACACCGATTCAAAGATCTTATCAGGGAAAACACCACGGGGAGTCGATAAAACTTTTGTTATGGTTTGCGGGAGCATTTGGAGTTCTTGAGATCTTCTTCATACACCTTTTCTTGTATAGCACATGGAAAGACTCCACTACAACTGCACAAAGTTACTTTCCAATAGCATCAGGGTTCAAAAGGTTCACATATGCTGAGCTGAAGAAGGCAACCCACAATTTCAGCAAAGAGATAGGGAGAGGTGGTGCMGGTGTGGTGTATAAAGGCGAATTATCCGATGAAAGGACTGCCGCAATAAAGATGCTCAAAGAGGCTACTCACCAGGGAGAAGCTGAGTTTCAAGCAGAAATAAGCACAATTGGGAGGCTCAATCACATGAATCTTATAGAAACATGGGGGTATTGTGTTGAAGGAAAGCATAGGCTTGTGGTTTACGAGTATATGGAGAATGGATCGTTGGCTAAAAGCTTGCTTTCCGATAAACTTAACTGGGAAAAGAAGCTAGAWATAGCAATTGGTACTGCCAAAGGGCTGGCTTATTTACACGAAGAGTGTCTGGAATGGGTTCTGCACTGTGATGTCAAACCCCATAACATTTTGTTGGATGCTGATTACAATCCAAAAGTGGCAGATTTCGGGCTTTCGAAGCTTTTTGATAGAGRTTCGACCGAGAATTCAAGCTTTTCCAGGATTCGTGGGACACGCGGTTATATGGCTCCAGAATGGGTGTTTAATCTTCCGATCACCTCAAAAGTTGATGTCTATAGTTACGGGGTGGTGATACTGGAGATGATCACTGGAAAGAGCCCACTAGAAATGCAGCAAACAAGTGGAAATGATAGCGGGAGGGACCAAACATTGGTCGAGTGGGTTAGAGGGAAGATTCATGGTAATAATGAAAGCGGAAATAGAGCATGGATCGTGGAAATTGTGGACAGTAGCACGAGTGGCGAATACAAGACGCAGACGATGGAAAATCTTGTGAAAGTTGCTTTACAATGTTCCGAGGAAGATAAAGATGCTAGACCTTCAATGAGCCAAGTGGTAAATATGCTTCTYCATCCGGATTGATGATTTCTGAAACTTCTATTAGTGGTGTAACAAGGTATATATATCCATTATGGAAAATAAAGATGAAAYATAATGTTTTTATCCAATAAATTTTGCATAATTAAGACGTTGTTTGGCAATAATGGTTTGGTGCAAAATCATTAAGTGATCAGAATAATCAAGAGGCTTTCATGATGTAGTGGAAAATATAATTGTTTGGTAATTGTTTAAAATGAAATTAGAGTGTTGAATGGTTAAGGGAGACCCATGATACAAAATCATTCAGAGGGTTTTAGAACCATTAAGAGGCAAACTTTTTTTTGCCAAACAAWATTCACCTCTTAAATATTCAAAAGTTGTCTTTTAATGGAACTATTAAGAAGTAAACAAACAACATCTAATGCATTTTGGGTTGGACTTATATGTTTGGTGCTTGATCAATGAAAGAGAATACTAAATGACTTGAGAACCTAATCCTTGATTATAAGATTGCATTTGTTTAACGATATTTTATAGGATGTTGTAGAAGAAACRACTTATTGAATATGGTGTAAGCTTGATAAATTGCTTATGACGTAGAGCTTGCCCAAAAAGCTTCRCATGAAGCTTAATTTATTTGCCTATTGTTTATTTGAAGGTAGTTCAGTGACTACACATCTATCAGAATTTAAGACGATAGTTTTAGCTTGAATAATCTTTAGGTGAAATATGACGACRAGGATTTGGGTTTAATTTTGCTATGCTCTTTGCCACCACTATTCGCTACTTTTATGAATACAATCATTTATAGTAGGGATTCCTTTACTTTTACGGATATGTATACCGCTCTGAATTAAAAGGACAAAATGAAAGAGATAAGTGTCGATAATGAACCACAGGCCAAGGAATTAAATGAAAGGGGAAGACAATTTGAAAAAGGCCCGAGCTCTTCAAGCAAATAAGGATCAAACTCCCATGGTAAAAAGAAGTTTTGCAACTTTTGTAAAAGGAGATGTCGGATCATTAATGAGTGTTTTTAGCTTTAAGCCAAAAACAAAGCCTACACTACTAGAATACTGGTATTTTTGGCTGACAAATTCCGTCGGAAAATTACCGGCGGATCACCGTTGGACAATAAAAAAGTCAACTTCTGTTGACTTTCGATGGAAAAATTATTCTGGTAATATTTCCAACGGATTTCTGACGAATTTTGTAATTAATTATTTTTGGACTTGTATTTAAATCTGATTACAATAACTTACCGGCGGATTTCCGGCTGATAATTAATTAATCTTTTAAAATTAAGATTAGCCGAAAATCCGCGGGAAAATAATTAAAACTTAAGATTTATTTTTAAAATTTCCGGCAGAATCCGGAAGGCTGCYAGTAATCCGCTGGTAATAATTATTCAAGATTTTTAAAAAAATCAAAGATTTTTCGGTGGATTTCCGGCGGCTTTTCATTTTTTCTCATTTTTCAAACTTTTCTTTTCTTAATGGATCGTATTGGGCTTTAATAGTTCTATTGGGCTTTAATGAATGTTAGTTGGGCTTTAATGGATCGTATTGGGCTTTAACGGTTTTATTGGCTTTAACGCATCGTATCAGGATTTAGTGGATGTTAGTTGTGGTTTAATGGATCGTATTGGGCTTTAATGGACCGTATTGGGTTTTAATTGACCTATTGGGCTTTAATTGATCATATTGAACTTTAATGGATCGTATTGATCTTCAATGGATCGTATTGGACTTTAACGGTTCGTATTAAACTTTAGTGGATATTAGTTGTGGTTTAATGGAACGTATTAGGCTTTAATGGACTGTATTGGGGTTTTATGGACCGATTGGGGCTTTACTGGATCGTATTGGGGTTTAATGGATCGTATTGGGCTTTAAAGGTTCTATTGGGTTTTAGTGGACTGTATTGGACTTTAGTGGATCGTGTTGGGCTTTAATGGATCGTGTTGGGCTTTAGTGAACCGTATTGGGTTTTAATGGGCCGGTTGGGCTTTAACGGATCGTATTGGACTTTAATGGACCGTATTGGGTTTTAATAGACTGATTGGGCTTTAATGGAACGTATTGTGCTTTAATGGAACATATTGGGATTTAATGGATCGTATTGGGATTTAATGGATCGTATNTTTTAATAGACTGATTGGGCTTTAATGGAACGTATTGTGCTTTAATGGAACATATTGGGATTTAATGGATCGTATTGGGATTTAATGGATCGTATTGGGCTTTAACGGTTTTATTGGACTTTAGTGGACCATATTGGGTTTTAGTTTACCGTATTGGGCTTTAATAGATCGTATCCCGCTTTAATGGACCGTGTTGGGCTTTAATGGACCGTATGGAGTTTTAATGGACCTATTGGGCTTTAATTGAATGTATTGTGCTTTAATGGAACGTATTGGGCTTTAATTGATCATATTGGGATTTAATGGATCGTATTGGCCTTTAGTGGACCGTATTGGCCTTTAGTGGACCGTGTTGGGCTTTAATGGATCTTATCCCGCTTTAATGGACAGTGTTGGGCTTTAATAGATCGTATTGGGTTTTAATAGACCATATTGGGCTTTAATGGATCGTATCCCACTTTAATGGATGGTGTTGGACTTTAAAATGGACCGTATTGGGCTTTAATGGATCGATTGGGCTTTGATGAAATGTATACGTATTGGGCTTTAATGGACCGTATTAGGATTTAATGGATTATATTGGGCTTTAATGGACCGTATTGGATTTAATGGATCGTATTRGGTTTTAATAGACCGTATTAGGTTTTAATGGATCGTATTGGGTTTTAATGGACCATATTTGGTTTTAATGGAACGTATTGGGTTTTAATGAACCCATTGGACTTTAATGGATCCATTGGACTTTAATGGACCGTATTTGGGATTTTATGGATCATATTTGGTTTTAATGGTCCATATTGAGTTTTAATGGACCCATTGGACTTTAATGGACCGTATTGGGATTTTATGGTTTATATTGGGCTTTAATTGTTCGTATTGGACTTTAACGGTTTAATAATAATTATTATTATAATTTTAAAAAAATATAATAATTTTAATAATAATAATTTTAGTGGTAATAATAATTATAATTTTAATAATAAGAATAGTTATTTTAATAATAATAGTAATTTATTTTTGAAAATAATAATAGTAATTAAAGTAACCGGCGGATTTGTCAGCCGGAAATTGAAAATTTCAAGAAAACCCGTTAATTTTAAAAAATTAAATTTTTTAAAAATATTTTCAATGGTCTAATCCGTCGGTAAAAAAACAATTAAAAACCCTATCTCCCTCATTTTAACAGCCGCCTATGAAAACCTACCCCCACAAAACCGATCGTGAGCTAAAACCACAAAACCGACTGTCGACCACCCCTCATGGCCGCCTCGACTGCCGCCGACCCCACCTCGACTACCGGTATGTATGTAAATATGTATGTATGTATGTATGTATGTATGTATGTATGTATGTATGTATGTAT